CACACACACACACACACTTTAGCCAGATATCTCTCCATTAATGGACTTGAAGTGTGCTTCCAATAATTTTTCTTCTATTCTGTACATTAGGTTCCCAGAACCTTATTCATCTTATAACTTGAAGTTTCTACACCCTTGCTCCCCCTCACCTCCATCCCCAAACACAAGTCCACTCTTTGAGTTTTGGTTGGTGTTTCCAATGATTTACCTTAAAAGTTGTTTTGCATTTAAATCTGACACGTATAGTTAGATTTAAGTTGTTTCCTGAAGATGTATGCTTCTATTTTCTTAGCAAGTTCTGCTTTTTAAATGGAAGAATATTTGGTGAGACCTCACACCCAGCAATTTTACTCAAGAGCTGTAGAGGTTTAGATAGCATCAGCCAGTACAGGACCACTTTTGATATATTACTTGCTATTTTACCTTGTATGCCTTTTATTTAGAGATTGAGGGAATTTCTTCAGGGAGATATTTCAAAGACAGTTAATATTACATTTTAAAACTTTTAAGTTTTTCCTGGGTAAATTGTGTGAAACAATGAATGCTATAGTCTCTACTTTATACCAGTATTCAACTGTAACCTTTTTGTTTTTAGGCCAGTGTTCTAGCTTCCAGTTCTACCGCAGCAGCTGCTACTCTTTCTCTGGCCAATTCAGACGTCTCACTGCTTAACTACCAGTCAGCTCTGTACCCCTCATCTGCAGCCCCAGTTCCTGGAGTGGCCCAGCAGGGTGTTTCCTTACAGCCTGGAACCACCCAGATTTGTACTCAGACAGATCCATTCCAACAAACATTTATTGTATGCCCACCTGCTTTTCAAAGTAAGTGGGAAACTCCTGTATCACATGGTACCTATTCGATACCTAGTTGTTTAGTTTTGATCTTTGACAAGTTTTAACTCTGTCTCTGATTATGAAGATTATGAAGTTCAGTTTTTATTTTATAAAATCACTTTACAAATTTATAAATTATAAAAATTTTATACTTATTAAAAAGCTTTAATAATTAAACTTTTAAAAATGTGTTAAAATTTGGACTTTTTACATTGATTATCTAATTATGATGCTCTCTACTACCTATAATTCAGGTAATGTTTTATTAACTCAACTGCCTGATAGCAGTTTTCTTACTAAGACCTTGGACCAATCTCTATTTTCTGTAAGAGCGTTAATCTTATTTCCTATATCATTCCATTGTAAAATAAAATCAACATTCCAAATAAAAGTTAATTTTATTGTAAAATGTAGGAATCATGTTTAAGAATATGGAAACCCCTTAGGTTACTCTTAAAAGTTAAGCTCCTAAGAAAGAAAGATTATTTGTTACTGAATTGAAAAATTTTACAAGCTAAGATACTTACAAGGGGAAGGCATTAAGATGATCCGCTTCAGCTTGTGAATCGCAATGTTCCTGCTCACTCTTATCAACAGAGGAACAGAACAGCTGGAGAAGGAGGCTCTTACCCCTTGCGTTGCAATAAGATTTTCATTTTCACATTCCCATCCATCCTTATTTTCCCATTCTGTAATCCAGTCTATCTGGTTACTTTTTTCTGAAACATGGGAGATGTGTGCTCATTGATCTGAGGAGCCATTTAACAGGTGAAGTATTTAAAGATATTTTCTGACAACATACTTGACTTTCTCAAAAGAAAGTCAAAGTCAGAATCCTTTGGGAATAAACCAGGATTCAGGCTTCTCACCCATTTTACATGGAAGCGGGTAGCATTTTTATCTTTTTACTTCAGTTCTTATTGACTGTGACTCTTTTTTTTTTTGGTTTCTGACAGAGTCGGAGCAAGCAGAAGGAAAAGAGGGGCTAGGGGAGACTGAGAAATTACCGGGAGGACAGGAGAGCGATAGCCATGTAAACCAGGGAGACACTGCAGGGAGAGCGGAGGAGCAGATTCAAAACCCGTAAATGCGACTTTAGCCTGAATTGCCAAGTATACTTTCTGCGTATGCTCGTAGTCGTGAATTCTGTACTTTGGGTCAGCGTGTATAGAAGGTTCTTATACTGAGCTTTTTAGCAGCTAGTCATCTGCTTTCCCTCACGTTTTCCAGAGTGAATAACCTTTTCCAAATTTCACTGGAAGAATTTTCATATCTGAAGTTTGTCTGCTTCTTCTCAGATGACACTTAAAAAATGTGGCAGTACTTTTGATTTCCTTAAAAAATAATTTAAACTGAAGAGGCAGAGAAAGAAAGTGGTATAACCTCTTCTGGTATAATTAGGTAACTGTTTAACAAAGTTTTGGATTTTTTTTTCCTACCTGGGAAATGTAAAACCCATAGAGCTAGTTAGAGCAAATCTTACAATCTCCAAATGAAAGGGATTTATAAATCAAGGTCATGATAATGATGTTAGCTAATATGTGTTACTATGTGCCAGATATTGTTTGAAGTGCCCTTTCATAGATTAATTTGCCCTGAGAGACAACTCTAGGAAGTGAGTAATGTGATTATCCTTAAATTTTAAATGAGAAAATTGATTATGATTCCCTCATCTGGTCAGGGTCTTTATAACTAGTTAGAGGTAGAACCATAATTTGAACCCAGGCAGTGGGACCCATAGCTTGTGTTTTTCTTTGGGGGGAGGCATTAGTCTATACCACCCCTTGGTATCTAAGCTCAAATAGCTATGAAGAGTTCTTGATTGATTTGCCAGCCACATCCATTTGCTGGTTTTGGCCCAAATATGCCAGGCTGCCTGCTTTACTTTGCCAGCTTCTCTTAGAAGATAGACTCATCAGTTAAACAGTTTTACTTTTCTTTCCACAGTTCCATGGTTTTTCATTTGAAAGGCTATGCTCAACAAAAATAAACCAGAACAAGTGAAAGCAAAACTAATCCTGCAGGCTTCAGGGAGAACCTTTTAAAAGTGTTACTTTTGGTTAATTCTTTCTTTTACTTATTGTTTCCTGAAGAAGCTAATTTTAAACTAGTTTGACTGCTGTGGCTTAGCCTAAATTACTACAGCAATCTAGTACTTACTTAGAGTCACATTTGTACGTCCATGCTATAAACGTCTAGTTCCCATACTGTTCCACTTGGCCAAAGTAAACATACATTTTGCTCAGTGTTAACTGTTGTTATGTGATTTTGTGCCCTTTTGCTTCATCACTTTGAGACCCATAGAAGAGCCTTTATAGTGAACATTTCTTCCTAAATTTTGCCTCCTTGGACCCTAACAATTTGTTGGAAGTTGTTTCAGTAACATTGTTTGGTAATATATCCTGGGAATAGAGACAAGAATTTTAATGTCATTTAGCTCTTTTAGTAGATAGCATTGCCTTAGGAAGGATAGCTGACCTTTTTATTTTTTTTTAACCTGGATATCTGGATTTGTTCCTTTTATATTAGTAGCACTTTTTGTAAAAATGCATTTTTGTGTGCTTTAATTCTAATTTTACTAATATTTCTTAACTCTGTACATTTCTAAATTGTGTTTACCAATGTGACAACTTGCTATTAAATTATTTACTGAAATGGGAACTTAGATTAACTTGCTGAAAACAAAATGAATTATGATTGATATTTGAATAGTAATATTGAGAGAAATTAGTTGGTAATAGTTTAGAAAATGTTACTAGAATATTCTTATTAAAGTGTACTCTTACTTTAAAAAGCTGCAGGTATTAATAGAAACTTAAATTCTCTACATTTGAAGTTTGGTACTATAGACTAAAAGAAAGCTTTAAAGACTCTCTTCTGTAGTTTTTGCAAAATGGAGAAATATCTTGAAGCCCCTTTTTTCTCCATAATGTGATGTTCCTATTTATAGGGAATATTTACTCAGCATATGTGAACAGAACTTATTGTATTAAATACAGAGGTAAAGGAGACATGGTCACATTTTAAAGGCAACAAAAGTTCTTAGTTTTTCTTACTTCTTCATTAGGTACGCAAGCCTTTTAGAAAGCTGTCGATAACAAGAACAGATTTCTAAAATAAGTAAAAGAAGCTTTTGTAAACCAACATGTCTGCCTTTAAATATTTTTATCCTAGGCATAATTTCTTCACATACTGGTTAAAAATAAGATGTGTGACTAATTTGTGAACTAGGTTATATTTTTTGAAGCATGGGATAAAACATCCTCTAAGATATTCTAAACAAGAAGTTACGTGATAAATTATTGAGCTTTTCATAATTTTTCTTACATATAATTCTGTTCAAGTCTTTGCTTTTATTACTTTTTTCTTTTAAGTCTTTGCTTTTAATATGTTACATTTAAAAAACACTTAAGGTTTATTTTCTCCCCTAGTGGGATAAAAGGCGAATGCCATTTACCAAGTGAACATTTTTTGTTTGGTTGTTTGATTTGACCTACAATGTTAATGGAAACAGGATGTGTGTTGTGTTTTAAGTTTTGTAGGATAAGAAAATTTAGAATCCCTTTAAACTATTCCCTCCCTGCCCCCATATCAGACATCTCTGGTAATTTAATCTGAAGGAACACAAGTCTCTCTTTTCTTAACTTCCAGCTTTCTCTGCAACTCCTATTCCTTAGTTACTTAGAACTAAAACCTAAGCAGTGGGTTATTTGAACAGAAAAGTTAGAACCAACAAAACCTCCCAGACAAACAGTACTCCCAGACCTAGCAAAACAGTTTAACTGAGATGTTATTTTCTACAGCTGGATTACAAGCAACAGCAAAGCATTCTGGATTCCCTGTGAGGATGGATAATGCTGTGCCCATTGTACCTCAGGCACCAGCGGCGCAGCCACTGCAGATACAGTCAGGAGTGCTCACCCAGGTAAAAGCCAGAGCACCTTAGGTGCTCTTAGGTCTCGGTAGTGTCGAAACACTATTGCAATTCAAATTATTTTGTTCTAGAAAGATCTTTCTTGGTTATGATTCAGTGGATTAAAAATGAAGTGTCTCCATGGAACCAGGTATTCATTCCCAAACGCCAGTTCTTTCTTAGACCTGAGGGCTAAATTATTCACATGTTGTGAACTTGTTTTCTAAGTGAATTTTCTCAAATTTTGTGGGAAGAAGTTCATTTGGCGCTCTGAAGATATGGTACACAAACGACAACATTTTGATTCTAAAGTAAAAGGCCTTGTGTTTCTGTAGCGTCCCCTTTGCTCACTTTCTCAGAATTCCGTCACAGTTGAGAGGCCAGGGCACAACAAGGTGCCTCTTCAGGTGTTACAGTGCTTTTTCTTCCTGTGCTCACCACGCTGCAGAAAGCTTAAAACTTTAATTCCATGTATGCGACTAAGATGGTGGAGGAATTCAAGAAGTACTTCCAGAACAATGCATTTTCAATTCCGTAGTAAATGTTTGTGGACCGTGACGCCTAGAAAATTCTGAAATCCCAAACCCTCACGTTGTGAGAAGGAGTTGTTCACTGAGTTTTATAGAACCGATCCTCTGAATCTGGTCCAAGAAGGGTTTCATACTGTTGATGTTTTGCTTTAGGCTCTTGACATTTGACCCACGTCGTGGGCCAGCGCTGTGCAGAGTTGGCAGGGAGAGTTGTGTTTGATTCATGTGTTTTAGGTGGTAAGAAATGATGTTTATCGTTGGTGATAACTTGGGGGGAATGAGAACCCTTCTGAATCCAAATAACCTGCCTCCGTGTTTGTTTTACTCACCTGCCTAATCTGCATTTCAGGGAAGCTGCACACCACTAATGGTAGCAACTCTCCACCCTCAAGTAGCCACCATCACGCCGCAGTACGCGGTTCCCTTTACCCTGAGCTGCGCAGCCGGCCGGCCGGCGCTGGTTGAACAGACGGCCGCTGTACTGGTAATTCCCTCACTTGATTGTGTTACTAACGGAGTTTCTTTGGTTTCTTTCTTTTTATTTGTTCCCTGTTTGTTTTTGTTCTGTTTTATTCTGGTTTTCTCATTTTTCAAAAAAGACCTTGTGACTTAGCTTTTGCAGAGGGCATGGAAGCATGTGCCATCTTGTGGCTGTGTTCTTGCTGCGTCTTTAATGTCTCATTGTTTTCTCCCTGACATTTGCTGAAGCACCCTTTGGTTCTGAGGCTCGGTGTGGCCCTCGAAGGAGCCAGATCCCTCAGTTATTTTTGCCAGCCTAGTGTGGTGAAAGCTCTTGGGGTAGCTCCAGAAGAGCTTCAGCACTGTCCTGTTTTCTGCCGTATCTCTTACCTCTGGTTCTTGAATGAAGGAAATGGCCTTCGGTTTGGCTCTGCGCCTGAAACTCCGAGGGCCAGAAACTGAACTTCTTGACAAGTTAGCTTCCTCACTTATTTGCTCTTTTGAGCTTCTAAAACTTGTGCATGTAGAAGTGTTTAAGATGCTCCTATTTATTGCTGTGTGAGACGGTAATAACTTTCCTTCTATGAACGCGTGAAGGGACCTGCCACACGTGATCATGGTTCCTTCTGTCTTTCATGTGAGAGTATCCCCTTTAACATCTAGACTATTTTGTTTGTGGATTAAAATGAAAGTGAGCTCATTTTTAGGGGTTTATGGAGACATTATCTGCTTTATAAATCACACTATACAAAGGTGAAAATATAACAGAAAAATCAAGCAAATCTAATAACTTTGTTACAAAAAGTTATGAAGTACAGAAATAAGTATAGTAAGTATGGGGTTTAGAGACAGGGCAGACAGACAGGACTTCCAGGTGTATTTAAGGGTGATGACTAAGAGTGAATTTTGGGTGTGTTTTAGTGCTTGGGGGGTTAGTTATTTACTGGTCATGCAGCATTTCATTATTTAAAATTTTAAAATCAGGTTTGAAACTTAATAGATACTATTGTGTCCTGGTATTTCTACACCTTTCAAAGTGACTTAATTCAGTTTGAAAATCTTTGTCACCTCCAGATTAATTATCTCATATACATAAGACCCGAATATAAGGGAGTCAGATATATTTCCAACTCGATTGATCCGACCCACCGGACTTTACTTGCTCACCTATAGTTTTGAGGTTGGAATGTTGGTTGACACTTCTTCTTTGCCGCTTCCCTTAAGTTTGCACTAGCCATTTGCTAAGCTTTGCATATTTTTGTTCTTCCTCTGTCAAAACAGTTCGTCGCTTGGAACGCCAGATTTCTGCCTCACGTTGGAATGTTACTTCTTGCTCTGTATTAAACTACATGCTTTGTCTTGTGCAGGTGTTGGCTTATGGAAAGACGCATGGTGTGACTTAACATACTTCTCTTATTTTTTGTTTTGTTTTGTTTTGTTTTGTTTTCAATTCTGCCTATGGTAGCAGACGTTTGCAGTTTCTCTGCTTTGAAGGCTTCTTGTTTGGAACCCGTATTTGTAACAAGTGGATCTGTTACTTGCAGAAATATTTTTAAAACAGTGTCTTGATGATGGCCTTGCAGTTTGAAATTCAAGAAACAGAACCATATGTACCCAAGCATTGTAGGTGATTGTTCTGTAGAATTCAAGTTTAAAAAAGGAAGCTTTCAAATCTGTTTCCATTTTTTTAGAAAATGCCAGTATTTCTGTAAAAAGAACAGAAAACATTTGTTGCTGTCTATTGCAAGTGTCTTGGCTTGTTAAAAACTAGAAATGGTGTATTTTCTTATAGTGATTAGTTTTTATGTTGAAGTATGTTTCTACAAATAAAATTATATATACTTAGGTAACCTTTAATAAAATATGGCTCTCTGTATCTGTCTCATAAGTCACTTACTTATTGCCTTATTTTACAATTTTATCCTATGGCTGTAAGTATCAAAGTTTTCTCTTGTTAGCATAAGGTTGTTTGCTAAAGGATTTGGCTTTTGGTTATTCACATCTCCTCCATTTTCCAAATCACTACCTTTTTAAAAGGGAATAGTTCTCCCCTTCTCCCATTTGCTTTATGGTTGAATTGACCTGATGTCTTATCTGGTTGGCACTCAAAAAATTCTATTTTTATTCTTAAGGGAGCTGTCTTAACTCTCTCGAGTACGTATTTTATAATCTTTGCAAAAATGATACGATACCATTTAACCAGAGCTTATATCTGAATGTTCAGACTCCTTTTCTCTACAGTATACTAGAAACTCTTAACACACCAGGATCTTTGCTTTGCTACCCTGGTGGTCAGGGTTTGGAGGTGCCAAGATAAAGCAGCGTGTTCTCTCCCGATTCGTAAGACTTGTAATCTTGAGCCCCCTGACCTTTCTTCTTTAATCTCTGCAAGTTAACAATCTGCAAGCAACTTCTTTTAAGATACGAATTTTTCTTTCATCTAAAAAAAAAAAAAAAAAAACAGAAGAAAAGGCCAAGAGTGAGTCAAGTCTGGGTCTTTTTTTGTGTGTGTGTTTCTTTACAGCAGGCTTGGCCTGGAGGAACTCAGCAAATTCTCCTGCCTTCAACTTGGCAACAGTTGCCTGGAGTAGCTCTGCACAACTCTGTCCAGCCCGCAGCGGTGATTCCCGAGGCCATGGGCAGCGGCCAGCAGCTCACAGACTGGAGGCAAGTCCCTGTGCTCCCGTGTGGGAGGGCTTCAGGGCAGGCCCCTGGGCGTGGGCGCTCTTGGCAGTTTGGGCTGACTGAGAAGAAGACAGAGACGAGAGGTATTTCTTTTGGAAAGTCTTTTAGAAAAGGGCTGATACCAGGCAAGGAGGTAGCGTTATAAGCAAATTTTGATACAGGAAAAGCTTAGAACCTGGTCTAAAGATCAGGAATCTTGACTTCCGAAGTAGTCATTTACTTAGGAGAGTCTGATGCAATTAAAAGGTATACAGTGAAAACCTAAAACCTGGCGATCCAGCTGTCCAACTTTAAAAATAAAATGCAACTCTACGTGGTTTTTAAAATTGCTTTTATTATCCCCTTGGTCTTGATTTCCCTGTGTTGTGCTCACTCACTTTTCTGTTTCTTTGGCTCGCTGCAGGAATGCCCACTCTCACGGCAACCAGTACAGCACGATCATGCAGCAGCCACCTTTGCTCACTAACCACGTGACTTTGGCCACTGCTCAGCCGCTGAATGTTGGTGTTGCCCATGTTGTCAGACAGCAGCAATCCAGTTCCCTCCCTTCAAAGAAGAACAAGCAGTCTGCTCCAGTCTCTTCAAAGTAAGTCTCTGTTTAAACCGATAGAGACAACTGAGAGCCTGGCATTTAGAGTGTTGTGGTTAAGACACTTTTCAGTCTGAGGCAGCTGCCAAAGTGAGGTTTGCGTACCAGGTGTGTCCTGGTTCTGCTTGCCCTCCTGCTGCTGCCAGTTTGAATGCAGGCCTCTTTTACATGGATGTTTTTACCTCTCTGCCCACTTTATAACATTGAGTTTAACAGGTAGGACAGGGGAAAGTAAAAGTATACAGACATAAAATTTATGTTGTATTGCGGTGTGATCGTTGCTAGATAACCTGGTTAGAATGTTTAATTTATTTTTTATTGCAACTTTTACAGTTAATTGTATTTGCTTAATGATTGGATCAAGATAGAACCAAAGCGCATATTGGAGAGGAGAGGGTTCTGGGGAAAACATTCAAGTTTGGGGCCGTGTTCTGAGCAGTCTTGCTTGCGACTTCCCTGCAGGTCCTCTCTGGATGTTCTGCCTTCTCAAGTCTATTCTCTGGTTGGGAGCAGCCCCCTCGCCCCTGGCCAGGACCAGCACCAGCCAATCATAATTCCAGATACTCCTAGTCCCCCTGTGAGTGTCATCACTATCCGCAGTGACACTGACGAGGAAGAGGACAACAAATTTAAGCCTAACAGGTAAGACAGCGGCATAGGCCCCTGGCTGTCGGCTCTGCCCTTGGCTTCACTGTGTTAGCTTCAGGCCAGCGGCCAGTTTTGGCTTTGGAAGGGAGGACTTTAGAAGCATGGCATCTTGGGTGATGATTCCAAGCGATCCAGGTTTCCCTAACTGAGCATTCTAGGGTTCCCAGAGGATTGCACGTACCAATTTATCAGTCTATCAGATACGTTAGGCAGCTGGTGGACAGGAAGCATGGGCTACGCTGGCTTGGCATGCGCCTTGCTGCTGGTGTGAGCCCTGCCGTCAGGAACCGTGGAGGCTGGAAACAGATACGTAGCAGCAGCTCTGGATAGCAGTTCATTGGAATGAGTCGCTGGATAAGAAATGATTTGAGATTTATGTGATTTTTAAATTTGTTTAATCTGAAGAAGCCTCATTGAAGAAGCAGAACTTTAAAGTAGGGATGTCTTTTTCACTCCCTCTGCTGTGTGGAATCTTAAGAATTTACATGACAGATTATTTTCTCTTATCCCATCATCTTAATCTAAGCCCGTAACTGGACAATTTCCTAAGAGGGACTTGATAATTTAAAACTGTCATACATCTCTCTCAGGGTGAGCGTAGTCAGTTGCCCGGCTTATTGTGTTGTGTTCCTCAGTAAGCCTTGGTGTCAGGCATACAGAAGAGGGCTCACCTTACTTTTCCCTGAGGAGGTAGGAGTCGCACATGAGAGTAAGTAACGCAAGCAACTTTACAGAGTCATGTAAAATCGAAGCAAACTTGAAGTAGTTTAAAAGAACTATTTACAAATGTTGACTTGAAACTAAGATTTGAAAGTAGTCATTGAACTGACTTGGGGAAGAAATAAAGAAAGCCTTCCAGTGAGGAAAAGTGGCCTGTCATAGTGGCAAAAATGATATAGGCAGCTGACTGGTTTGATTAGACCAAACATTCTAAAAAATGAGCAATGTGGGGATCAGTTAATAAAGAAACAGCAATCGTGTTTAGTGAGAAGTTTGATTAAATAGAACCATTTAGAGTCTGGCACTGTGATAAGGAAGAGTGGTACTTGAGGAATGTTGTTGAAATAATGTGCATAGGGTGACACAGTAGTTGTTAGAGCTGTGCACTCTGTCTTGGTTCTGAATCCTGTCTTCACTTACCACTCGTGCGACTTTGGGCAAGTTCCTTACTTTTCCTATGGTTCCTTGGTTTCCTCATCTGCAAAATGGGACTAGTAGTACTTCCTAGAAATAGGGGGTCAGCAGGATGTATGTAGAATATAAGAGTAGTGTCTCCTACCTAACAAGCACTCGAAGCTTGCCACTGCTTTAGTATTACCATCCTTGCTGGGGGAGGACAGGAAGTCATCTATGAAACATGACTAAAAGGTGTTGAATTTTCATATATTTTCTTTTCAGCTCTGGCCTGAAGCCAAGGTCTAATGTCATCAGTTATGTCACTGTCAATGATTCTCCAGACTCTGACTCCTCTTTGAGCAGCCCATATTCCACTGACACCCTGAGTGCTCTCCGGGGCAACAGCGGGCCCCTTATAGAGGCGCCTGGCAGAGGCGTGGGGGATGGCACTGGCACCCGCACCATCATTGTGCCTCCACTGAAAACTCAGCTTGGCGACTGCACTGTAGCAACCCAGGCCTCAGGTGAGTTCTCATAGCTGGACTGAAGTCTCCTTTGACCTGCACATGCTTAGTACTTGCTATGGCTCTCCGTGCTGTGCCCGATGGGGTGGCTAGCTTAAAAAGTGCTTCATTCAGAAGTCAGCTTCTCCCAGAGGGAGTTTGGCCATCAGTTTATCTTCCTATGCTTATTTTGCTTGGACGCACATAAAAGTGGGTATGTACTCTCAGATGTATTCACGGTTGGTGGGAGAAGGCTGACAAGACAGTTTGAAGGAGGCTCATGGATTTCTCAGCCTCTTTAGCCCTGGCAATAGTGAAAATGAGTTGCATGGCCTCAGGTGCCAGGGACCCCGGAAGTGTGGTTCTTCTCTAGGCAGTTGCTGTCCCCGGCAGACAAGGCTGGCCTCTGAGCGGCCTTCCTCGAAGCGCTAGTCCCTGTTGGGCCCAGAGAACTTAAACTGCCCTGAGGCACTGAGGGAACACACCAGTTTTCCTAGTGGGACTCAGGCGGAAGTGACATTTTTAAAACTAGTCTGGCTTGTATGTAGTGCTTTGCAGTTTTTTATTATTTGAAGACAGTGAATGACCAAGAAGACACAATCTTGCCTTCCTCCAAGCCCTTTGTCATGTCGGCATCCTAACAGTTACCATTATTTTACTCAACTTCACACCATCCTTTCTACACTTGCATAAGACATTAGGGTAGAGACTGTGTCTTACTTGTGTTTGTATTTCTAGAATACGCTGTGTATCGTGAGAGAGTAGATTGTATTTACTGAAAAAAACCTTTTAAGACTCCTTCACGGAGCTTTGTGGCAAGACCAAAAAGAAGCAGATGATGCAGTTTCCATTCTTCCAGTGTGCAGTGTAACTGAGGAAGCGAGAGGCGTGAAGGAGCACTCAGGAACCTCTGTGATACCGTCCGGGGTTAGCTCAGTGCCACCGAGCAGATGCCTCCCCGAAGTCTAACTCCTGACCCTCTTGTAGGTCTCCCGAGCAGTAAGGCCAAGCCAGTGGCCTCGGTGAGTGGGCAGTCGTCCGGATGCTGCGTCACCCCCACAGGGCACCGGGCGCAGCGCGGGGGGGCCAGCGCGGCGCAGCCGCTCAACCTTAGCCAGGTAAGCGCGAGGGCTGCTGCCTTCTGCTTGGGCTCCCCACTGTTGCCCCTCTCTGGAGAACCCTGCTTCCGGCTGGACTGCTGAATAAAGCCCAATGCACACCCCTTTCCTGAGGCGCAATTCGCTGTCCTGTGGCTGTGTCTCCTTGCATGTGCTGCGTCTCTTCGTGCCTTCTAGAGTGTTCGGGTGGCCTCTTCGGGTTTCCCCGTCCGACCTCCTTGTCTGTCCCGGGAGGTAAATGCCTGGAATTTAGAAAGAGCCATAGACGCTTTAGTCTGTGCCTGCCTCTGTGCTACTGCAAGCTTTGGGACCAGATTCCCCTTTCCCTTCCCTGCCGTAGTTAACACAAGTGAACGCTGAACACTGTTTACCCGAGCAAAGAGCGGTGGAAAGCTTTCTGGCCACTTCCTCAGGGGCTTCCATCCCCTGTGTCGCTTGAGGCTGGGGTTTGGGACTTTCCTCCTGTCGGATTCCCTGATGGGGTGGGAAGGGTCACTGTTCCACTTGTGTTCACTCTTTCCTCAGCTAAAATTCTCGCGCTTTCTGGCGTCTACCAGTAGTGAGAAGGCGCGACACTGTGTGACAGTTGTGTGCGAGTGCGTGCGAGTGAGCGAGCGAGAATGCATGAGAGCACATGCGAGTACAGATGCGAGCCCGAGTTAGTGCATGTGTTTTAGGCTCCACATTGCAAGAGGGACGTGAAGAACTTAGAGGAGAACAAAAGGAAACAATGACCAGAAGGAAAGGTTAGCAAAAATTCAGATTCACTGACGCCAGAATAGGGTGAGTTGAGTCCACAGTTACTAACTTGAAGGAGTGGGGAGCCCTGTGAACGTTTGGCGCCCCCTTTCCTGTCATACCTGAGAGCAAACCGTTGCTGCCGGGCTGGGTTAGGATGCGCTCTGCCAGGAGCAGAGGGGCGAAGGCTGACGGCACTGCAGTCCGGGGAGTCTGCTGTGGCAGCCCGCCCGGAAGCCGTCAGCTTAGAACCTCAACTCTCAGTGTGGCCTTTGGCGCCCCGAACCGGAGTGACCTCCATTCCTCACTCCCTTCTTCCTCCTTCCAGAACCAGCAGCCATCGTCAGCTCCAACCTCGCAGGAGAGAAGCAGCAACCCTGCCCCCCGCCGGCAGCAGGCGTTTGTGGCGCCGCTCTCCCAAGCCCCCTACGCCTTCCAGCACGGCAGCCCACTGCACTCGACGGGGCACCCTCACCTGGCCCCGGGCCCTGCTCACTTGCCGAGCCAGCCTCACCTGTATACGTATGCTGCCCCCACCTCTGCTGCTGCGCTGGGCTCCACCAGCTCCATCGCTCACCTCTTCTCCCCACAGGGCTCCTCAAGGCACGCTGCCGCCTACACCACTCACCCCAGCACTCTGGTGCACCAGGTCCCTGTCAGTGTGGGGCCCAGCCTCCTCACCTCTGCCAGCGTGGCCCCTGCTCAGTACCAACACCAGTTTGCCACCCAGCCCTACATCGGGTCTTCCCGAGGCTCAGCAATTTACACTGGATACCCACTGAGTCCCACCAAGATCAGCCAGTACTCCTACTTGTAGCTGGTGAACAGGAGGGAGGAGGCTGCGTCGTGGCCTGTTCTTGACCCTGAATTCATAGTGGCGGTCTGATGAGCTCCTCCCTGACCCTTTCTTGAAACTCCTAGCCAGCAACTTGTTCTGCAGGGCCCACTGAAGCAGGGGGTTTTCTCTGAGGAACCTGCCTCGGTGTTGACTGCATTATTGTAGTCTCCCAAAGTCTGCCCTATTTTTTAATTCTTTATTTTTGTGACAGCGTTTTTAGTATTTGGAAGCGTCCAGATGCCCACCTTCTGTAGTTACCGAGGAGGAGAAATGGTTCTGAAGTTACTCTTTGAAAGGTCTTGGGTATGATTTCTGTAAATGCGTTTCAAAACAGATGAAGCCCCTCTTTATTTTACATTGTTCTATGGTAATTGCCGGTCAGAGGGAAAACGCTGATAGAAGGAATTGAAATCTGATTATAGCGAGAAGAAAAAAATCATTCCTTTTTTCTTGTTTAAAAACCTAGGCTTAATTGTCTATTATAAAGCAGCTTATTCAAGCGTGTATGTAACTCTCGGCCATTTCTCCTCAAAATTTTACTTTGTTAGTGGGACACTTAAGTACTTTAGTTTGGTTTTCGTGTCATGTTGTACTTAGTAGACAATTTTATTTTTGCAAGACTGGTCTAACCCTACTCTGCGTTAATGTTCGGATCCTCTCAGTTGCTTCTGTGTTTACCACAGTGTAAAAAGGCAGCTCACCACTTGCTGATAACCTAGTGTGAGAGAATCCTTACCTACCGCGAACGCACCGGGCGGGCTTTCAGATGAAGCGCCGCTCATTCTTTTTAAATTATTTTTTAAAAAGTCCTTCTTTCTCCGACTCAACTTAAATTTTATTATTGGAAAAGCCATTAAGGTGGTGACTAGTGTATGGTGGTGGTGATTTTATTATATGCAGAATCTCTGTATTATGTGATACTGGCATTGATGAGTTTTGTCTAAAGATTAGTATGAATTTTCAGTAATCCACCTCTCTCTCGTTGCCTCATCTCTCCCTTCTGTTCTATGTGATTTATTTTGGGAGAAAGCGAAAGAATCTGAAACCAGATAAGAACGTTGTTGTGAATAGCTTTTATACTTTACAGTAGCTTCCTTTGTATGCCAGCAGCAAATTGAATGCTCTCTTATTAAGACTTATAAAATAAGTGCATGTAGGAACTGCAAAAAAAAAATATTTTAAAAATTTATTACTAAATTTAAAATATTTTAGAAGTTTTGTAATGGTGGTGTTTTAATATTTTGCATAATTAAATATGTACATATTGATTAGAAAAATATAACAAGCAATTTTTTCCTGCTAACCCAAAATGTTATTTGTAATCAAATGTGTAGTGATTACACTTGATTGTGTATTTAGTGTGTATCTGATCTCCAGTGTTACCCGGGAGATGGAATTGATGTCTCCATTGTATTTAAACCAAAATGAACTGATACTCGTTGGAATGTATGTGAACTAATTGCAATTATATTAGAGCATATTACTGTAGTGCTGACTGAGCAGGGCATTGCCTGCAGGAGAGGAGACCCTAGGGATTGTTTTGCACAGGTGTGTCTGGTGAGGAGTTGTTCAGTGTGTGTCTCTTCCTCCCCTCTCTCCTTCCCTTATTGTAGTGCCTTATATGATAACGTAGTGGTTACTAGTTTACAGTGAGCTTGCCTTAGGACGACCAGCAAGCCCCGTGGGCCCTAAGCTGTTCACTGGGATTTATCAAAGCAGGATCAGCAGCTAGCGGCGTTGTGTAAATGCATTGTTCTCAGTTTCCCTGCCGACTCTGAAAAATAACAACAGCAGCTTTTCCCCTTCCCGTCACCTCTGCCCCCTTCCCTTCTGGAATCTCAGCTGAGTTCTCGGTGCGTTTCCCCACGTGGCTCTCCCCATGCACTGCCACCCAGCCTCCGTGAGAACGCGGGGAGCGGGTGGGAGGAGTCAAGCCCATAGTGTAAAGTCCTTTTTTTTTCTTTTTTACAAAGTATGTGCAATCATTTTTAGAATGAGGTTTTTTCCTTCACTTTCCCACAGGGCAGTCCTTCCTGCAAATAGTTGACATTCCCAGTAAAATACTTGCTTGTTGAAAAACATGTAACGGAAGTTTTCATACCAAAGAGCCTGTTGTATTGCTTACCCTGGCCCCTACCACGCGGAGCTGCTGAGCCGCGGGTGACAGGACCGCAGGAAGGTTTCTCGGCCGGTGACGACATGAAGGAACCAAAGTCTGTTGGGTTATTGGGCTTTTGAGGTTTCCTTTCTTTTTCTTTTTGTTTCTGTATTCTTGGGGCCCTTCAGACTGTGAAACTGTCCTTGTACTCTCGACTTCTGCGCGGATCTCGGTCACGTGGAGGGGACTAGGGATAGGTTTGTTCCTGCTCACAGAAGACTCTGGGCAAGAAGGTTAACCCTGAGCTACAGGTGTGTTCCATCTGAACTGACAGTTACGCATGTGAGGGATGAGTCTAGGACTGGTTCTTTGTGGTGATGGCGTCAAGGAGGTGCGGGATGGAGACGGGAGATTTCATGGAGCCTGGCCAGGATGGCCAGGCTGAACACCAGGGGCTGTCACGGCATTTACAGTTTCTTCACTGTCGGGAGGAAGGGCTTCCAAGATGGGCAGATGGTCAATACAGCCTACCAGGAACATGTTGGTGTTTTCTCTCTATATTTTTATCACTGTATTAATTGTGTTTGCAAGATACCCAAGCAGTTTGTATAGTTTTTGTCACTAGTGTTAGTTTTCTGGTCAACATGTGTGATCTTTGTGTCTCGTTTTTGCTAAGCACATTTTGATTTTCTTGTTCAAAGGCAGATCTAGTTTCTAATGGAAATATTTTTTGTTCCTGTCTTTTCTCTGCAAGGATAAGATGTGTTGTTTTTGTAAGAAATGAGATGCAGGAAAAAAAACCAAAACACTCCACAGTTCATGAAGTAGATCCCATTTAAGATGGGAGTTCTCAACGGCAAATAGACAATATCAACAGCTTGTATTATTTCCTTAGTCACTTTTCTAGCATTGTGTGACTTTAAGCATTTTGGAAATTTCCAGTCTGTTGATTTCAGTTTATTGATGCAGTGCTTTGATAAAATGGATAGATATTCTGATTCATGTGACTGGTTTTGACTTCTGCTAGTCTCCCAATTGGCATCTCAAATCTACCAAGATCAAAAACTACTGCCTGTCAAATGTAGCTGTGGCCAGGTGGGAGCCCCTTGAAATTTGGTGAGCAGCTGGCCCAGGCCACAGTGACCTGACTTGGGACCAGCTTCAGGCTTTAAGTCTTCTCAGAACTTGCATTTCCAGCTTCTCCCCTTCAGGTTGAGCGGAAAGTAGGGAAGGGCTCACTACAACCTCTCGGGGCTCATCAGGACACTTGAGCCTTTCTGAGGGTTTAATGGCTCCCAGGGGGTGATAACTCCTGTCAGCACTCAGCTGAAGCACCAGCCCGGGGACTGTGAACCCCCTTCCCAGCAATTCTGGCCGCCCACCGTCCTCCAGGAGAGGGTCTAAGCTTGTTGCCCTTAGGCAGGCAAGCACAGACATGTGTGCTTGTATCAGCATTATTAATGCAGAACCCACTGGATGGTTAGTTAGAGGGTAGGAAATGAAGTTGCCTCTCAGTGACAGGAATGGCCCAAGCCTGCTTCCTGTTTTAACTTTTTTTTTAAAACTGATGGATGGTGCAGCATGTCTACATGGTGGTTTGTTGCTAAACTTTATATACTGTGTGGTTTTGAGTCAGCTTGAAAAATAATCTCACTACATGTAGCAGTACATTATATGTACATTATATGTAATGTTAGTATTTCTGCTTTGAATCCTTGATATTGCAATGAAATTCCAACTTTATTCAATGTAATTTGATATGCTAGTTATTGTGTGTGATTTAAACTTGTTTTTGCTTTCTCCCTTTTCTGGTTGTGCGCTTCCTTTTACAACAAGCCTCTAGAAACAGTTCCTGAGGATTATTGAGCTATGTTTGTAATGCAGATGTACCTAGGGAGTATGTAAAATAATCATTTTAACAAAAGAAATAGATATTTAAAATTTAATACTAACTTACGGGAAAAGGGTCCATTGTGTAAAACATAGTTTATCTTTGGATTCAATGTTTGTCTTTGGTTTTACAAAGTAGCTTGTATTTTCAGTATTTTCTACATAATATGGTAAAATGTAGAGCAGTTGCCATGCATCAATAAAATGGGTAAATTTTCTGATTCATGTGACTTTTTTTGACTTCTGTTACAAGGTTGCGATGGTGGCCCCTAGCGGCTGACTTGGAGTGGTTGAAGCTGTTGCATGCGGCCATCAGAGGCAGAGCTGCGACATGGTCGTTCTTCATGTAAACCCTGTGATGTGGGTGACTAGGAGTTAGAAGCAAACATTTCCCAAGAGGAGAGAATCCAAAGTCCCTAACTTAAGATGGTTTAGATCTGGCCCTTTGGAAGGCAGAAACTTCTAGCAAAGACCAATTGAACTTTGTGTCTCCTTTTTGCCAAGTACGTCCTACCAAATATCTAAAGTAGCAGAATGAAAATTATCACAAGGAAGTGCTATTTCTTCCTCTCCTTTCAAATTGCACTGTTAGAAGCTGTACATTTTAGAGGAGCGCTTCTGATCCGATTTCTCTTGATTCTGCACTGAATTAAATTTCTCCTCATAAGGAGTTTGAGACTTGTCTAGATTAACCACCACAGATCTCTAAATACATGCTCTGTATATTTTTACTTTTTTGGATACGAGTTTCAGGCTTAGTCAGCCTGTCTCACAGTGACCATTATTAATTCATCTCGGACTCCTCCTGTGACCAAGTGTTGTGACACGAACTCGGTTGCTGCTTTGCAGCAGGAACGTGGTAAGGGGCCAGCAGCTGTGGAGCAGGTTTGCAGGCCAGACTCTGCTCCTTGCGCAGAAGTTCTTGTGCCATTTGTTGAAAGCACACAGGCTAGTGAAAACCGATCATGCAGCAGTGACGAGGATGGGGTCTGGACGGTAGGGTAGGAATGGGGATAGCGTTTTATAGGGAAGGGGAGATTGTGACCATATGCTAAGAGACACTTGCATCAGCAAAGTATGACATCATCACAGGCAGCGTTATCGCAAGACCACCATGGAGTTGGTCATGCAAGCAGGTCAACAGTAGCCTAAGCGGCCCCAGGCCTGCCCCATGATACCTGACCCACTAGGGAGTCAAGGAATGCTCTACTGGGATGTGGAAGAGCATATCGGTCACAGTTGCCCACGAGTAGTCTGCCGGTAGCCAGCTTATAGGAAGCCACAACCAAGGGAAATGGTCAGTTCTTGTTCCTCCTATTAGTAGGGAGTAACAATACATTTATTTTTATTTAGGCTGCAACATATTTTCCAGATGTTTTTAATAAATGGATGTAAAGCTAATGTGAATTTGTGAAACACTCCCTAAGTAAAGACTATCCCTACAAGTGCTAGCATGTGACCAGAGATATCCTGAGACCCTCAGACTTGCACACCCTAAAGGGATCTGGCCATCCATATGCACAAAGACAAAGCATATTCTATGCATACAAGAACTGGGTTGGGGTACAGGCCAGAGGTATGAGGGTGAGATGTTCACCAGAGACAGAGTGGGGAGCAGAACATGGAAATACACCGCTGAGGGGTGCAGTGGGCGAGACAGGAGAGGTCTGCTGTGCCATGTGGGTCATTCCCTGGCTGGGGATCAAACTCAGGCCACAGTGGCTGGTGCTAGCTTAAAGCACTGTGTGTGAGAACTTTTAATAAAACGAGTCAACATAGAGAAGCTATGAAAGGATAGCAGTTTCTCGATAAAACACCCAAAGTTACCATGCCCTCGTGAGTGAATGCCCAGCCAAACAGGGCTGGCCAAAAATGGGGCTGCTGAGCCCCAAAAGCTCCCCATGAGTCTAAGGCACCTGGCTGGGAACCGCAGGAAACGGGCGAAAGGGACCAAGCAAGTCTGGGGTGAAAGAAGCAAAGTCAATGAACAAGTCCAGATAAAGGGTGCCCGGTCAGCCCCCCTGTGTCTCCCACCTTGTGTCTTCTCCAAGTCCCCCCAGTCTCAGGAGAATCCAAAGCTGGAATCCAAAGCGTCCTCTCACACGGCCCTGGGAGCCGTCCCATGCTTTATAGCTTCACCTGGTCTGCCGACTCTGCCCATCATTAAGTGGGGTGGGAACATGCGGCCTAAAACTTCTTACCTAAAAGAAGTTTCCAGGCAAAGGAAAGCCCTGTAGAAAGATTTTGCTGTCAATCTCACTTCCAGGTAATTAGGAATTTATTGAGCTTTCAATGATGGTGGTTTGCTTTTTGTCATAGTTATATTCTCTTCCTTAGGCTAAATCAGGGAGAGATTGGGAAAGTCCCTTAAATAATTGGGTAGTCTGTGGGGAAATCTGTGTTTTAATGATGAAGATCCCCATAAATACAGTCTGTTTGTGGAAAATTTCCGGGGAGGAGGGGGCAGGAAACGTGATGCCAGGTGCTTAACACTAGATGGCGCCAGTGAGCTATGGACAGTAATCCAGACCTGACCACTGGGCCTTTTCCCCCCACCTCTACCCTTCAAACCTCATCTCCCCAGCTTACAGCTTCCACGAACCATTAACCCATGCTGCTATTACTGGGAAAGAGCAGGATTAACAAAGGCAGTGTCTGGAGATGTCAGCGCAGCACGCTCCTGTGCCAGGGTGACTGTCTAGAAGGCCTGGCTCCCAGCTGTCCATCTCCTTCCCCTGTCCCAGGATCCTGCAGCCTAGGCGGGAGGTGGTTAAGGCTTCTGGCAGCTCAGCAGTGGGGCCATCTGTGTTTGATCAATCCAGGCGGAAAGGAGGGGGTGGGGGCCATAAAGAGACTGAAAACATTCCAGAGTAGTGAGAGAGACCAGAGATCCAGAAAGAGAACGCACCGCCCCCACCCCGCCTCCAAAGTAACCCGCAGGCTCCAGTGGAGGAGCCTGGGGCACTCATCCACATTGGTGCCGCCAGCCTGCAGCCATGGGGCCCCGCAGCGCCTCGCTCCTGGTCTGGCTGCTGCTGTCGTGGCCCAGACCCCTTCACGGCCAGCAGCACCACCTGATGGAGTACATGGAGCGCCGGCTGGCCGCCCTGGAGGTGAGTGGCTCCTCATCCCCGCGCGCATGCCCCGCCTGCCCTTGAGTCTCCTCTGTTGCCAGGAATCTGGGGGTGACAAGACAGCTCTGGAAGAAGCTGGGCAAAACACTCTCTCCATAAGAGACTTTCAAAACAGCCAGCCCTTGTCTTTGCTCACACCCGTAGAGCAATTCCAAAGCACCCAGACCCTTGTGCTCGAGGCCCCGGGATCAGAATGGAATAAAAAGACAGGAGAGCCAGGTTGGAGCCTGCATCATCAGGAGAAGCTGGTGGTTCTGTTGATGTTGGATGTGCTCAGAAGACGTGCAACTTTCCGGGGGACTCTGAGCTGGGCCTCTGCACATTTAGCATCCCTGAACATCTGGCCCTTCTCTGGCGGGGTTGAAAGGAAGGGTGAGGCCTGGCTGCTCTGGAATCGCCCCTCCCCCCACCCCTGCTAGGGCCTCTCCAGGCCTGGGAGTTGTAACCCTCAGCCTTCCCTCCTGTTCCTAAATCCTGGCAGGAGCGTCTGGCCCAGTGCCAGGACCAGAGCACCCGGCAGGCCGCAGAACTCCGTGACTTCAAGAACAAGATGCTGCCGCTGCTGGAGGTGGCCGAGAAGGAGCGGGAAGCGCTTAGAACCGAAGCGGACTCCCTCTCGGGGAGAGTGGACCGTCTGGAACGTGAGGTTGACTATCTGGAGACCCAGAGCCCAGCTCTCCCCTGCGTGGAGCTTGACGAGAAGGGGGCCGGAGGCCCCGGGACCAAAGGCAAGGGCAGAAGAAACGAGAAGTATGACATGGTGACCGGTAAGTGACCTGAGCGGGCTCCCAGCCCACCTGGGTGTTCACATGGCTTTTCCTCTTCTTCTCCACTTTGGTTCTATCTTCCGGAATCTGTTTCAGGGAAATCTTTGTAGCCAGAGTCTCATCCAGCAGAGTCTCTGGGGAGCCCGGCCTGGGTGGGGGGGAGGTGCCCTTCTCCCCAATCCTCCCTAAGGGGGGGGGGTGGGCCCACTGGGCAAATTCGGGCACTTGCCCAGCAGGAGGGGGTTCCTGGCCACAGCCCCCACCTCCTTGTCCTCTGCTTTCTCCTCCCCACCAGACTGTGGTTACACAGTCTCGCAGGTGAGATCCATGAAGATCCTGAAGCGCTTTGGGGGCCCAGCTGGCCTGTGGACCAAGGACCCGCTGGGGCCCACGGAGAGGATCTACGTGCTGGACGGGACGCAGAACGACACGGCCTTTATCTTCCCGCGGCTGCGCGACTTCACCCTGGCCATGGCTGCCCGGAAAGCCTCCCGAGTGCGCGTGCCCTTCCCCTGGGTGGGCACGGGCCAGCTGGTGTATGGAGGCTTTCTTTACTATGCGCGGCGGCCTCCGGGAGGGCCGGGCGGGGGCCGTGAGGCCGAGAGCACGCTGCAGCTCATCAAATTCCACCTGGCGAACCGGACTGTGGTGGACAGCTCGGTGTTCCCCGCCGAGGGCCTGATCCCCCCGTACGGACTGACGGCCGACACGTACATCGACCTGGCAGCCGACGAGGAGGGCCTCTGGGCCGTCTACGCCACGCGGGAGGACGACAGGCACCTGTGTCTGGCCAAGCTAGACCCGCAGACGCTGGACACAGAGCAGCAGTGGGACACCCCGTGTCCCAGGGAGAACGCCGAGGCCGCCTTTGTCATCTGCGGGACCCTCTACGTGGTCTACAACACCCGCCCGGCCAGTCGCGCCCGCGTCCAGTGCTCCTTTGACGCCAGCGGGACGCTGACCCCCGAGAGGGCGGCGCTCCCCTACTTCCCCCGCCGCTACGGCGCCCACGCCAGCCTGCGCTATAACCCCCGCGAGCGTCAGCTGTACGCCTGGGACGACGGCTACCAGATTGTCTACAAACTGGAGATGAGGCGGAAAGAGGACGAAGTTTGAGGAGCCGGCCTTGCTTTGGGGGACGTCTCGCAGCCTCCTGACATTTCTCTCCCCTCCAAATTCCTTGTTTCTCATTTTCAGGGTGGACTCGCTGTGGCTTGGACCCCGTATTTTTAGCCAGTGGAAGCCAGGCCCTTACAGCCCCTTGATTTTGTGCAGGACTCCGGTCAGTACTTGAGTAATCCTTTGAGACTGACAGCGAGAAAACCCTTTCGCCTGCCCTGCCTCAAGGAATGTTAGGCCAGAGAAAACCCAGACCCAGACCTCAGTCCGGCAAAAGGGCACCCGGTTCTCTCCTGCGGGACTTTGAGTCAGGAGAGGCCAGGAGGCGGCTGGAGCCACCCTCCGCTCTCCTCCCTTTGGTGCCGGAGAGAGCGCGACTTTCTCCCCATCATTTTGTATTGCAGCATTTTGCATTAAAAGGAAAATCCACAGCTCCTCTCCTGTGTTTGCTTGGGGGGGGGCCTCAGATTAGATTTCTCACCATGACCCTCCATATTCCGCCTACCCTCTCCCCACCCCGTAAGCCACATCAGGCATTTGGCTTTCTCTAGTTACAGGTTTCACTGAGAGGCGCCCAGGGGCAGCCTTAGCCCCGCCACTGGAGGGGGCCAGGCTCAAGGCCCCCCACACCACCAGGCTCCCAGAACCACCTGGCACCAGGCCTCCGACCGCCAGACCCTGGGGTCCTGGCTTCCCACTCAGTTCTCCGAGGTTCGGAACCAGGACAAGATTTTCGGCCCCTTGAAATATCTTCTGGCAACCGGAGCCCCGAGTGTGTGCGTTTTCGGCCAGAACTTTGTCACCTCTGCCCCCACCCCCTCTGTCCCCAGCGTGGAGCTTGTCCCCCGGGAAGGCTGCACGGTTGTTCTTGGTCCAGCTGCTCTGGCTTGCCTGCTGCCGCTGTGTCTGCGGTGTGGGCAGGGAGGAGGGCTCGGCCTGCCCCAGATGTGAGCCTCACCAGTTGCCCAACCATCCCGCTCTCCTCCCGCCCTCGCCCTGGTCACCCTCGACCCACTCCAGCCCTGGATCCTGGCTGAGTCTGTCCAGGAGGCCAAAGGACTTAACCCTTTCTGGCCTGCTTCCCTGGCCTCTGGCTTGGACTTGCAGAAGGCCATCGGGGGCGGGAGGAGGGAAGAAGAGCCCCCCAGATTCTGGACTCATCTTAGGAAGCTGCGACACCCTGAGCCAGACGCCGTCCTGCCCACCCCACAGGGACAGGGTGGGTCATTCAGGGCCGTTCGTCCTCCTTTGTCTCCTCCCCTCAGGCAGAGCTAGCTGCTCCTGACAGGTCGGTGAGGACAGGGAAGAGAAACAGGAACCTGCAAAGGCACTATTGTCGTGCACCACTCGGGGGGCCTCTCCCATTCACCCTGCCTGATGGAGGCTGGCAGCCATAATCACCGCCTGTCAGCCCCGAGGGGTCTGCCCACAGACATCTGGCTGCAGCCCCTGGGAGTGGGTGGAGGGGGAGGGAGTCTCGCTGGAGGGCTGGAGAGAGGGGTCCAGGCAGAGGCTGTACTTGGGGGGGCCTACTTCCCTCCTAGGGGGCACTGTCCAGCATTGAGCCTGAGCCCGTAGGTGGGCTGTGTCGATGGGGTGAGGGCGAGGCTCTGGCCCGCCCTGCAGAGAGCAGCCCCAGGCCGGGCCGCGGGGGTGGCTGCCAGCGTCCGGCCTCCTGGCATCTTCCTTTGCCGAGTCCTCAACGAGGGAGGGCAAATGGCCTTTTAAACAGTTTTGGCTTACGTTTCCTTGGAAAAGTTCACTCAGACTTTTCAAGAGGGCAGGAGTCTCTGGGGCCTTGTCATTTCTTACTTTTTGCCTTTTTTCTTGGCTCCTGCACAATAGCGAGTGCTATTTTGGAAGCGTTTTGGAAGGTGAGTGGAACTGTGTGGGCAGATCCAGTGAACTGTCCAAATTCATTAGACTAAATTATCTGCTGCCCAAGGCGAGCGCCTCGGGAGCTGAGTCCTAGCATCAAAAAGCTGCCTCGCCTCTTCCGCCCTCCAGCGCCAGCCAGCGCTTGGCAGGAGGAGGTGGTGACCTCTGTGGGGGCTGAGCAGAGGCAAGGGAGGACCCTAATGCTGAAGGAAGAGGCTAACGGCCCTCCCGGAGTGGGGGTGCACGCCGGGCCCCAGGGCCGGCCCCTGGGCGGCAGAAGCCACCAGGCTGGGGCTGGAGGAGAGGCTGGTCCCCAGGGTGCCCTCGGTGGGCTCGGCCCCCCACTCCGCTCCTGACGCGGTCTTAGAGCCGGCTGCCATTCTCATCAAGCAGCCTGGGTGGCAGAGAGGGCAGGACTGACGGGAGGGGCTGTTGACTCAGTGCTGCTCCTCTGGAGGCCCTGAGCTAACCGGAGCCAGCGTCCTTTCCCTTCTCCTCCTCTAGTCTCCGGTTTTCCGGGTCCCTTCTCTACCCCTCTCTCTGCAAAGGCGCCCCTTCTCTGAGGCTCCAGGGAGAACCCTGTTTGTTCTCTGCTGCCCCTTTCAGAATGCCCGGTTGAGGCCGTTCTGGGGAGCTGTGGACTCTGCTGTGTGCCGCTGTTGCTCCCACTTCTCTGTGGGGGGGTGTGGGCTTGGATCCGCGGGGGGCTTCTCTGTGGCTCCAGCCAGGGGGCAGGGCTGGCTCTTCAGCCGGGGCCCCTCTCTGCAGCAGAAGCCTTGCTGGGGCCTCTGTGCACAGACTGGACGTTTCTTCCTCCACTCCCAGGCCTCCCTGGCTGGTAAGCTCTCCTGCTCTTTAACTTCTGCTCTCACAGTGCAGAGCTTAAAAGATTAAATCTTTATTTATGGACTTAATAGCTCCACAGAAGAATTATAAGCCTGGAAGCCAATGCATTACTTTAAAGGGCAGAGGGAGAAAGTGCAAACAAAGACCTCCCTGCCCCCTCCCCCGGAACGGGGGTCTGACCCCAGCCCGAGCTGGACATCTCTCCGGAATGCTCTGGCACGACCTCTGTCCACACTCTACCTGCTGTCCGCGTGGATGCCTTGTTTCCTGGCTGTAGCTGTGTGGCCCAAGGGGAATCAATCAGATTCTCGGGGATTTAGAATGGCAGGTCAGGGAAGTTAGATCTGAGAGGGTGTTTGGAAGCATCTTCTGCCCACCCAGCTGCTGAGAGGCAGCGAGTGGGGAGGGGAAGGACAGGTGACGCTGGACAGAGCAGAGCAGGAGGTGGGGCGGGGTGGGTGGGGGAGCCTCCTGGCACCCCTCTGCACCCCTCCTGTGATCAAAGCCATCCCCTGCCCTTGGAGCCAACCACAGACCTGAATCTTTGTTGTTTTTTTTAAGATGTATTTACTGATGCTTACAGAACTGGGGTGCAGGCCAGAGGTGCAGAGATGAAAGGATTCACCAGAGACAGAGTGGGGAGCAGAACAAGCGGATTGATGAGGTACACTGCTGAGGGGAGCAGCGGGCAGGTCAGGAGCGGTCTGCTGTTGCGCCCTGTGGGTCAGCTCCCTGGCCGGGGATTGAACTTGTGCTGCAGTGGCTGCAGACAGCTTCACAGTGCTGAGACTTAACCCCTGACCACCGGGAATGCCCAGAAAGCTTTTAAAATACTAAAGGAAAGCTAGGTTTCAGGCCTTCCATCTGGACCCCGTTTACCTCAGGCACACCCCACCCGAGTCTGTCTCCATGTGATGCATCTTGCTTGCACACATGGGTGTGCCCCAGAGCCTAACACAGAGCCTGGCTCAAAGAAGGGGCTCGAACCCACTGTGCTGGGGCTGAGTGCCCGGCCACGGAGGGCATGCTTGTCTCCTAACTCGGGCCCTAACTCAGGGGTGACGTGTTGCCAGCAAGCAGTAAATGCTCTTGATGGCATTTTTTCAATTTATTTGAACAAAGACAAGCTACAGATAAAAACTGAAAGCTGTCTCCTTTCAACTGCAGAATTGGCTGGCCTCCCCACCGGGGCAGCATCCAAGGAGAAACTCACAAGCCAGACGAGTACATCTAAGTCCTGTGACCACCAGGGAGAACGAGGCTGAGTTACAGAAGACGGGGGTGGGGGGGAGACCTTTGTTGTGTGGCATCCGGTTCATAGCTGTTTTCTGGAAACACAGTCCGAGTTTCATAGATTGTGCCAAGAATTACGTGAAGTTATCTCTGGGAAGCAGTAACCCAGTGCTTGGGACATAGTAGGTGCTCAACAAACAGTTAATATCATCATCATCATCATCATCATCATCACACGAGTTCAGATAGCAAAACGCTCGTGGGTGTTTGCCTCGTTGGGTCTTTACACCCTTCCACGGGATGGGCAGTTCTCAGGAACCTGAGGATGACAGAGGTTAACGTTGATTTGTCTAAGGCCACACAACTCACGTGGTCCCGTGCTGCTTAGTGAGGGCGATACCTGGACAGTTTGGGGGATGTCGTCATCCTGTGCCCCCCTGGAGGGAAGTTACAGGACCTCCATGACACCAGCTCCCGTGTGGTCTGTGAAGACCTCTGGCAGTGTGTGGCCTGCCGTTGAGTGAAACCCCACTAAGAAAGCATGACCCGGAGTCCTGGGCTCAAACCCTCGTCCTGGAGCTGTGTGGAAGCATGGGGAGCTGCAGCAGCGGCCAGACCCAGGTGTGTCACACTAGCTCTGTGACCCTGGCTCGCGACACCCCCGACTTCAGGGGCTGGAACCAGCTCGGAGACCCGTGATGACAGAGTGAGCTGGTGTTTGACGGTATCCTGAGCCTCCTGTCCCGATCAGGGCGTCTTCAGCTGCCTCCTCTTTCCCTCTGTGCGTGGTCTGTGGGGAGACATGGCACCTGTCCGGCGCCATCGATCCCTGCGTGACAGGTGACATTGGGGTTGACAGGTGCCGCCACCAGCCACCAGGGAGGGACACTGGGCATCTGGAAGCATCGCCCTGCTCTGCACCCAAGCAGCAGTACCCACAATGTGGTGAGGCTTTGGCTTTCCTTCTTTTGAAAACATAGTGCCCCCAGCTCTGTTTCTCTCCTGTTCCATTTTCTTGCAAAGATATTTCAGCAGTTGAGTGCGTGTCCCGAGTCACCATCACTATTGACTTTTTGGACTTGCTGCTGATTTTGACAGATCCTTTGATACTGTTTCGGTTGCACTTGGCCTTCCAGATATTTATTGCTGTCCAATTGCACATGATTTTTGCTTTGGAGTGTTGAACGCTCTAGTCCAGACCCGTAAATCCAGGCAGTTGTCAAGCCCATGCGCTCCTCTCCATCCATCTGATTGCCCTTTGGGGAGAAGGAAGATAGCACAGAAAGAGCCCTGGGTGAAAGCGAGAAGACCTTTCTCTTTCCGTGTGGTCGGTCCGTTGTGGCTGAGCATCCTGGCTCTGCTCATTAGCTGTGACCTTGAGCCCCATCCAGCCCCTCTGAGTCTCAGTTTGCTCGTTAGCAATACAGGATCACGTGCCCTGGATTATCCTTTCATGGGCTTGCTGGG